GGAACTCGATGCAAGACATGACAAATATGAGAGACTTGTAAAGCTTAGTCGGGATATAACCGTAGAGAGTAAAAGGACAATTTTTCTCCTCCATAGGATTACGAGGTGAGTAAACATCTACAAAATTTGTTGGTTTGATACGTATTGTGTTAAATACATATATAAAGCATTACTTTATGCATCTATGTTATTAGAGTATGTATTAGAATATTCTGTGACTTATCGTGAACATTGGGATCAGAGGATGTTAGCAGCAGGCAGATTTTAAGAATAAACATTTTAATAAAAATAGGGAAAAATTCTTATTTCCAAAGCAGCTAGAGAGTTTGTGTTCTCTTAAGATCATCGATGTAGCCGTTTGTGAAAATATTAAATTTTTTTGGTTTATTAAAGCTTTACTTGGATGACATATGTGGAAATTTTAGTATGAGATAAATGTCGAAATCCGTTTAATTTGCCTTCCCACTCATTTTCCAACTCATCTCAGTCAGTCTTCTCACGACTGTAGAAATTGCCTTCGTTAACTTCGCGTTGCTGAATGTGGTGCACACTCAGGTGCTATTGTCCTGGTTTACATTTTTGCAGCATGTAATACTGTCGACTACGTAATTCTTTGAAAACGCCTTTTCCTTCAGCTCTATGACATTCTTCGAAATTTCTTTCTCAAGGACTTATTTTTCTAGGTAGGCCGTCTATGTTTTATAGATTCGTTGGTCGCAAGTGAAAGAAACTAGCTTAAACTAGCCTGAGCAGAGGAGGGCCGTGAATTGCAAAGATTCAGGAATGTCTTCTGAATGCAGCTGAGTGTCTCCATCTTGCATCTTCGCTTGCTCCGTGTATTTCATTGACTGGCTTTCTCTGCTTCTCTGTTCCACGTGGGACTGTATTATGGAAAGAAGCAACACTTTTAATTATGAACATTTTTTTCAGTACAAATTGCAATTCTAAAACAATTGTCATCAGCATTCAGCAGTTTAAATAGAACTGTGACAGGAGAACTTAATGTTTTAGAAAAAGCCATGTTATTGCAGAAAGTCATCGTGTATATATTTGCTCACCGCAAAATAATAAACGCTCATTATAGTAATCTTAGAAAATAATAATCTTTAGAAAAATAACAAACGACAGAAGAGTGAGGTTACCGAACGAAGGGAATCAGTCATGGGCCCTCAGCAGCTGCGAGCAGCGAGCAGCCCCGCGTTTACGTGGCCTCGTCATGCTGGTGACCATTGCGTGTGCTCATTTTTTGATTAGTCGACAGAAAATGGTAAACTTTTAAAAACTACTAAGCTGCAGAAAAGTAAAAATACTTTATGAAAGAAATTAGCCAGCCAGAGTACATGAAGATAACTGCTGTTAGCAGATTTCACATTTTACCTGCAGACTCATTTTCTTTGATAGGTATCAGTAGATATGTTTTCCTTCATCAGCGAGCTTTAGTAGTTTGTGTCTTTTCGGGGAATTTTTGTATTTCCTCCTAGTATTTCTTTATTATCCTTTCATTTCCCTGGG